TTTCCACCCTCTGCGCAGGATTATATTCGTTACACTTCCCCATCATTTTCTCATTACCAACGAAGTAATATGTTTTCGATAATCCCCGAATACCTTAGGATAGGTATAAGCGAAATGCATCAAGCTCTAACATTTTAATCTAATTAAGACGAGATCCAATTGTCTGTCAAAGGGTAAGGAAAGGTTCAGTATCTGCTTCCTTTGGAGCGGGTCAAGTACAAATTGTAAAGTTAAACGAAGCAGCTAATAACATGGATTAGGTACTAACAATATTAAGTACATCTTCTTCGATTTTAATAAGGAAAATTATTTTTATTTTTACATAACCGTCTCTTGAAGAGGTATTAGAAAGGAGAGCAGAGGACTCTATGGAAGTTAATAAAAAATAAGCGAGATAGGTTGGTAGGACACCTTCTCAGGCATGAAGGTCTAGTCAGAGACATATTAGAGGCAGAAACAGGAGTTATGCGTCATTATTGCGAAACCATGTTTTCATAAACTACACAAATTGTTGTCTAAAGATAATGACCACTCAAAGTAAAAAGGGATCCATTACATACATGCGCTATTCACTTGTTGTTTCTACAAATAGAGCAGGTACCACAGCGTAATTCAACAACGTCTAATAGCGTTCGTATAAAGTCGTAAACAGGTGCTGGGTGGCGCGAGGGAAATCCTTTTTAATTAAGGAAAATGCGGGCAAATTTGCAGATTCATTCCATTCCACGGATCTCTACCCTTAGGGATTGCGCTCATTCACCGCCGGTGACCTAGATACACGTTCGGTCATTCAACAAATATGCAAACGTCGAATGCCACGCAACACAATATGAAAACCGTAGATACGTCGTATACGTTGGGGGTGGGAGTGGGTGGCACAGGGTGCGAGAATCGGCGTCACCTTTCTGAATAAATTCTCCGCAACCATTTCCGGCTCGTAGAAATTTCACACGCTTTTGTCATTTCTCCTTGTGACGCATTATAATACCCTGCCGCACGTTTTATTTCCTCCTCTTTTTTCAGTTTGAACTTTAACCTTTTTAATGTTCATATAATATGTCAATTTTGACGTTTGTTTTCGAAAAAGTGAATTAATTCAATTGATTTTAACTGCCGAAAACTCCCTGTAAAGTAAATATTTAGACGTATAAAAATAAAATTTTGCCCTGTTTTATAAGATTTCTGTTTCTTATGTTCTTTTTACTATATCTTAAAAGTACTCTAGCAAGAAGATATACTTATTGAGTACCCTTCACCCTGAAAAGCATACTAATGTAAAAATATTCACCCTTAATATCTATAACAGGTACAGACGAAAGTAATGTCAAGTTTCTTTGCTAAATACAACTCAGAAAACTGTTGCACAGTAAAAGTTCCTTATTCGCGGGTGAAAAAATTGCAACCCAGTTCCTGTATTTGTGGTTAAAAATTTCATTATTCGCGGTTGCAATCGGTAAACAGGAAAGGATTCGGTGTCATTTATTAAGGGGATTAACCGCAATAGACTGCTCGTGTGAATTTTTCCGAAAACATGGGTTTCTATTCTAAAAATTGTAATTTAACGCTGCGAGATAAATATCTATTTTTTTTGTATGGTAACAGACAAAGGTTCACACTAACTCGATACATTTTTGGTTTCCAATAATATGGTCATTAAAAGCTTTTACAAGTACTTAAAGTTGATGTTTCTTGTACGACACGTATTTCCAATAGAAATTAAAAAATTAAGAAATGCCCTTCGACAAGCTTTAGAACAAAGCTGTATCTATCTTACCACAAAATTTCAAACCTCTGTTTTAAATATGCAACTCATATCTAGATCCCATAAGCATGTTTTTACTCTATGGCGCGTATACCACTGAATCCCCTTAATGTATCGGCATCTTTTGAATAGAAAAGGATTCCGTGTTATTTTTCAACGTATCAGCATCTTTTGAATACTATTGGCTNCACTAAAAAGAACCCAAGTATTTTAAACGAGTAATCAGAAAGAACCACGGCTTTCAAGATCAAAAAAATGCAATAAATATTGAACTTTTGTTAATAATTTTGTGCCTTAAGTGATAAATTTATATTGCAGTGATTTCTTTTCTGTGTAACCTTGAAAATACTTGGAGATTTCGTAGTGAATGTGTGATTTGACTTATAAAACATTCAGGGGTTAGAAAAAGACCAACGAATGACGGTTTGAAATGGGTTTCCAGTCTTCATATTGTTGAAGTGTAAAATTGTGAACTACTATACTTCGATTAGTTTCTGTAGCGATGTGACCTTCAGTTTGACCGGCACAAAGTAGAAAAGAACAGCACTAGGCGACAAAAGAAAGGAGACAACTCTCGGCCAAACTCTTAACCGGTACATACAGTACTGCACGGAAAATTTGACCGTTTTATCTAGTACAATTGCATTGCTCAAATGTGATATTATTGGTACCATTTACTACTGAAAATATAAACGAGATGCTTATTTATATTTGAAGACATATTAAAGGCTTTAACGCTTGTTTTCGGCTCGCACTACTATTCAAGATTGAACAAAACTTTTGGCAAGTACTGTATGGAAAAGTATGTTTAATGAACAAGAGTCGAGAGTATAATGAGCTTTTTTCTCCCTACCTATGATTTTGACAGCGCGCATCCAAGACATCAGAAGGGGCACATCGCTAGAGTAAGTAAATGAAGTATACTTTTGAAACATCATAGTTGACACTTCAAACCGTTCCGAAGTAAAATTCTTCCTAAAGAAAGCAGTAGCACACATACTTTGGAACATCAGTTTTAGTGTATCACATTGATATGAGCAGGTATATACCATATAATGCTTTCTTGAAAGCAAGAAAAGAAGATTTCCTTCCAGTGACGGAAAATCTGAAAAGTACAATAGCTNCTTTAAATTTTTTAATCGCCTGAAAATACACGATAAATTTTGTATGAAAAAGCTTTTGTGTGCTTCATTTCCATCAACTACTAACGCTAGTGGGCGGCTAGTTCCTCCAGCCTTATTCTAATGCAAAACCAGAGTCTCCTTTTTGTAAGTCGTGGAATGGGGTGGTGGTGGTTAGGTTAGTACATATCAGGCCGACGAAATGAAGACAGAAAATATGTGGGAAAGATTATCTCAGGTACCGAGTGGCATGGCCTAGAGGTCTAGACCATTGCTTAGCATTCGGGAGGACGCGGGTTCGATTCCGGGTCCGTCTGCCTTAGTCCAAGTTTTTCTGGGCTTTCCTTGGATCACTTAGGCAAATGCTGNCATAGGTATATATGTACAAAGGCTTTAAATTGCATTTATTGGATTTAAATTAATTCATTATGCATATTAAAAAGAAAAAGTTAGCGGTGAATAATGAGGACACTGTAGATAGAGACGGTTAGAAATGAAGAGGTATTAAAAAGAATAGAACAGAGGACTCTATGGAAGTCAATAAAAAATAGACGAGACAGATTGGTAGGACACCTTCTCAGGCATAAAGGTCCAGTCAGAGACATATTAGAGGCAGAAACAGGAGTTAGGAGGGGTATCCAAATGTCAGGAGAATAAAAATATCGCACTTATTGGTTTCCATCAGCACTCCATAGACAGTTCCAGCAGAATACCCACTGACCCTGTGATCTATAAAGGTATGCCGCTCATTGTGGATTTAGCTCACAACCAATCTATTCGAATCTTCCCACCAATTTTCTTATCATCCACACTTGATGATAGTTATAACTCACTTAAAACGTTAATGGATATGTGTGTAACCTGTCATTGTATCCAATTCCTAGGAAGTGTGTATAATTCCTAAAATCGCCCGGAAATGTGTGAAATAGATTATATTAGACACATTTCCTAGGAAATCTATAGATTTCCTAAATAGCAATCGGAAATTCAAATCACAATCAAAATGTCAATGGGTACGCGGGGATAGTGGAGCGAGGGAGGGTATTCATTTTATTCATAGAAAGCATTAGTTTTATACATTTCCTACTACAATATCGGAATTTCACACAATTCCTAGGAAATGTATACATTTCCCAGGATATGTGTGCATTAAAAATCTTTGAAACAATATTTTATAGATTTCCTAAAAATCCTTGGAATTGTATACACTTCCTGACAATTACTCAACCACTGGATCAGATTTTCTCTGATCATTCCAGTATACACTCTGTAGATTTGTAAAAGCCTTACATATTACGACAGTGTAAGTTAATCGACAAAAGTCCCATTTACAAACGTTTTCTTGTAGAACACTCAATTCATGACGGCTGATCGGTTTCAGGTTACCCATCTCGTCGTTCCGATGTGCCCTCCCGCGTGGGCTGTTATAACTCAAAAATAAAGATCATGATATAAAGAACGACCGATTCGGGGCAACCGTGCGGGCATCTCTCGAGACCCCGAAGCACCATCGGCGGCAGATGTGCACCCCAGTTCGCGTATTACGCAAACTGACACTGACGGAAAGAGAGAGCTTTTGAAATATGAGCTTGCCGGGGTGCTTGCAATAAATACGAAGGACGTCGTGGGTTACACGATAAACACGTACAATACACACAGCCGATTCTACGTAGACATGCATGCATATTTATGCAAACACTTGTTCGTCGATCAAATTTAATGCGTTTTCTATTGGCGACGACAAAGCCGCGAGATCTGTTGCAATGACGTCAGATTTTAAACAGATGCTGGGCAAGACAATAAGTTCTTTTGTAAAGGGAACGAACGAAAAAACACATGTTCGCACTCAGTGTACATGTGTACATACAGGGTGGCTCATCGCAATTGGTACATGAAGCAATTCAAACATCAAAATGAAACAAACATTTTGAAAAAATCAGGAGTATATAGGTTTGAGTGCAGTCAATGGTCCGGAAAGTACATAGGGCAAACAGGAAGAAATTTTCAAGCAAGATATAATGAACACATAAAAAATAGAAACACTTCAAATTTGGATCACACACTAGTTTCAGACAATGTTCCCAAAATACTACTCATTTGTCAAAAACTAAACATACTAGAACCGAATNTCGTTTGAGTGATAATTGGAGGTTTAATGGAAGATGATCCTCCAGTGCTTGTTCCTGTACCAGGCTCCTGGGAGTCACTACTGTCATCATGAGAATCTCGCCTACCTTTTAAAGGTTCCTCTTTAGTAGAATTGAATTTATGCGCTCTCTTTTTACGATTTTCACTATCATCATCGCTAGCATCTGATGAGCTGCAGGACGCAGTCCTGCTTTTATGAAATTTTGAACGTCTATGTTCATATGAAACCCTTTTTTGATTTCGACTGACAATATTTCTTGATGAATGATGAAGATTACTGTCAATTCCATCTCCCTCTTCAAATATTTCGTTAAGCTGTAAGGGTGATGGTATAACAGGCGAGGTTCGTGTAGGTGAGGGCATTGTCTTAAAATTTGGGGCGAACTTCTGAGGTGGATAAGGAGAATTAGTGAGGACAGGTATCGAGATTGTTGAAGACTCGTTTAAAATACTTGTCGAAACAACATCAGGAATCTTTTTAGGCTTGTGAGGAATCGGTTGAGGGACGCTGTTACTCTTGTGCCACTTTGAGGGACTGTGTTGACTGATAACAGTTTTCTGTTGGTTATTAGTAATAGAATGAGAAAATTGCTTTACAACAGGCTTATGTATTTCGCGTTTTTTCTCTTCATTTTTGAACTCTTTTTCATTTAAGCACCCCTGAACTGTAAGATTTAACCGTCCTTCTGAACGTGAGCCACGTCTATTCAACGAACCATGGGTCTGAGAATCTTCGCGTCCAGAAAGATCTTCTTCCTCTTCATCTTCTTGTACTATACTGCACTTACGAGATCTCTAGAAGTAAAACATTAGATAGTATATAATTATCTGTTCTTTAATATTCAATTTACCTGCGGTAAATCTCCTGGAGTGCGAGGTACCGCTAGTAAGCATGGAGTACCCACAGAATTTCCATTACTTCTGTTGACGTTTTGACTAACAGATAAATTTTCTGGTCTCTTTTTGTTTATGCTAACTTGTTCTTGTCTCTTGGACCTTAATTTGCGTTCAGCCAATAGATAATATGTGGCAGTTATATGATTATACGCATTTTTATCCAAGCTCCTACAATAGATATTATAAGAACGTAATAAAACATAAATATAATAAACACACTCTTGAATTTCCTCTTTGGTGGCAATGTTTCCATTGACGATTTTTTGTACAATAAAATTATGATCCTCGTCACAGAGTTGTTCACGAGATACTAAGGGCAAAATGTCAATGTGGTCTTCCTTCTTTTGTTTTAACCATGGATGTTTAGCAATTTCTGTTAGTGTTGCTCGCTTCTCAGGATCTCGTATCAACATTCTCGAAATTAAACTACAAAAAAAATTTTGGAATTGGTCATTTTAAATATCACTTCAAGAGTTACTTACTCTTTACATTCGGTAGAAATATGTAACGGTACACTATATTTGCAGTCCATAATCATAGTAAGCGTTTCAGAATCATTTGCCTCCTGAAAAGGCGCATGGCCACAAACTAGCATATATAAAATCACCCCTAAAGACCACACGTCTAAAAAATCAAAACAAATGTGCACTCTTAATGAATAAAATTAAATATTATCTGCATACCAACAGCTGGAGCATCGTAAGAATCTCCTAAAAGTATTTCTGGAGCGGAATAAGCTAAACTTCCACAGGAAGTTTCAAGCTTTTGTCCAGGGCAGAATTTATTACTGAATCCAAAATCGGTTAACTTTACAACACCTAGATTTTCAAAAAACACAACATTCTCAGGTTTAAGGTCACGATGAACCACATGTAGACGGTGGCAATAGGAAATAGCTCTCACAATTTGACGAAAGTAATCTTTCGCTAATTGCTCCGATAGACCTGACTCGTGACGCATAATATAATCGTAGAGATCGCCACCATCACCGAGCTCGAGAATAAGATAAAGCTTAGTGGCAGTATCTATTACCTCATAGAGACGTACTACATTAGGATGTTGCACCAGCTTCATACATCGAACCTAGTTTCAAAAGAATGTAAATAATTTTTGTTATTAGAACACAATGTTACTGTAACATACCTCTTGAAATAGATGGGCTTTAGAAACATCATCAAGTTTACTTTTGTCTATAACTTTTACGGCAACTTTCTCGCCTGTGAAAACGTGTCGTGCTAATTTTACGACTGCGAAATGTCCTCTGCCCAAAGTTTCTTCGAGATCATAAAGTCCGGCAATTTTACCATCATAGACACCCGCAGAGTTGGAACGTAAGCTTAGCACACCTCCTCCTCTGCCGCCCACATTTGGACTGCGATACATTTTGACTTAAAAATAAAAACAATAATCATATAGATTATTTGTAATGAAAACAACAATCGTAAAATAAATATTCTTGTTATATTTTTGGATAATTGTATTTGCATATGCCATTTACATAAAAGTATCTATTATTCAGTTTCTTTTTAATGAACCAAGACGCCATTTACACCTATTAGATTTAATTGAACACATGTTAGATTACTGTTCACAAATAGTGAAGGGTGTGGGTTGTTCTAGTTTTAGGGAAATGCGAAGTTTAGCTCAGGATAGGAAAGAGTGGAGGTACGTGTCCAACCAGTCTTAGGACTGACGACCCTATGATGATGATGATGATAACCTTCTTTAGGTACCCTGGGGATACACACTTTGGCCAAAAACTCTCCAAACTGATTTCTGCATGACATCAAAATTTTAATCATGACAATCTTCTATACAGTAGAAAATCATTATCTAGTGCACAGTCTATTAGAGACATCCTTCTCCTCTAAAACCTAACCTAAACCCGTGTCACGTAAACACAGGTAACATATTTTATTCTATATTAACCATATTGCAACTTTCCGAGATAAAGCAATAATATAACAGCTTTCCGCGTTGGAAGGAACATCTTACGTTTTTAGTTTACGTGCCATTCTGTCCCCCTGCAGTTAAGTTAACCCTCCGGGTTTCGTCCAATTACCCAGGACAAATTAATAATTAAGAATTAATCCGAAAATACGGGCAAAAACGACTACAAGCGACAACAAGTAGTTGTTCTTCGTTCGCATGATTGGCACCTCGATGCGAGAATTTGTGCACCCATGAATAATGGAAAGGGTGCAAATTCGCCACTCGACTGCTTATCGTTGCTCGATTAATTAATTCGTTTCGCTTATTCGCGTTTTCACTACCTACAGAAGAGCTCAGGTGCTTTGCAAGAACAAATTAATTAATTATTCCTGTTCACTATATAGATAAACTGAATTCACTAAAGTGTCCTACTTTGACTAACAATGAGCTTTAGATAAATAACTGGGTTGTTCTAATTAACTTCGGTTATTTCTTTAAAGAACAAAAACTACCGTTCTCAATTTCAATCTATTTGGAACCCATTCAGTTTAGCATTAACAATTAATATTATTGAAGGGCTTACAAATGCCAGGCGACTGGCCCAAATCAGAACCAGCAGTGGGAAGTCAAGCACGGACTTATCAATATTGGTTTAATTCAATCGGTCAATTCTCAAATGTCAAAGCTAGATACGTAAAACGTTTCTCTATGTTTGGTACAATACTGATGCAGTCAGGCAGTGGTTTGTCGATACTGATCCAATGTTTGGAAAAGTTTCTAATGCTAAGGTTAGGTTTATTAACGTTTTGCCAAGTTTGATCCAATATTGGGCAATCACGAATGGGTTTGTCAATACTGGATCAATGTTCGATCAAACATAGAGTATTAAGGCTAAGTATATAAAATTTTCGCCAAACTATAACCAATAAGGAACGCACTATCCAATTTTGGATTAATTTTGTTCATCAGGTCTTACCCAATCATGAATTAATGTCGTTCACCAAGTCTTGACACAATTTTGGGCTAATGTTTGCCATGTTTGGTTCAACATTCCTTACCAATCTCGAACCAAAATTGAACAATCTTGGGCAAAGTCTAGACTAAGCCTGATCCTGTCGTGATGAGCAGACAATAAAAGGGACACATCAATGCTTAACAAGGTTCTTTTTATTAAGGACATCAGTTACAATATTTAAGCATGGTCGATTATAATAGAATAGAACTATCTTAAAAAAAGTGCCTCAAAAAAATGAAAAGAACTAACATGGATGGTCCACATTCAAACTTTCAAGCCAGCAGTCTCTACTAAAAATTTTAATAGCAATGTATTTTCTGCTCACTCCAATATGAAACTACAACTAATGTGATGAGATCAGTATTTGTCTCTTCCTCTTTTTCCTTTTTGTTTTATTTATTATCCATTTGTAGAATCCTTTATTCTTGCTGAATGCATCTTTCCTCGGCATTTCACGAATTGCAGACTCATTCTTTCATCTCGACGTTCAAAAATACGTTATGAAATAGACAAAAAAACCGCAATAAAACGTGCTGACTTGACAACTCGATTAGCTCAGGATAGGAAAGAGTGGAGGTACGTGTCCAACAGTCTTAGGACTGACAACCCTATGATGATGATGATGATGATAACCTTCTCTAGGTACCCTGGGGATACACACTTTGGTCAAAAACTCTCCAAACTGATTTCTGCATGACATCAAAATTTTAATCATGACAATCTTCTATACAGTAGAAAATCATTAACTAGTGCACAGTCTATTAGAGACATCCTTCTCCTCTAAAACCTAACCTAAACCCTTGTCATGTAAACACAGGTAACATATTTTATTCTATATTAACCATATTGCAACTTTCCGAGATAAAGCAAGAATATAACAGCTTTCCGCGTTGGAAGGAACATCTTACGTTTTTAGTTTACGTGCCATTCTGTCCCCCTGCAGTTAAGTTAACCCTCCGGGTTTCGTCCAATTACCCAGGACAAATTAATAATTAAGAATTAATCCGAAAATACGGGCAAAAACGACTACAAGCGACAACAAGTAGTTGTTCTTCGTTCGCATGATTGGCACCTCGATGCGAGAATTTGTGCACCCATGAATAATGGAAAGGGTGCAAATTCGCCACTCGACTGCTTATCGTTGCTCGATTAATTAATTCGTTTCGCTTATTCGCGTTTTCACTACCTACAGAAGAGCTCAGGTGCTTTGCAAGAACAAATTAATTAATTATTCCTGTTCACTATATAGATAAACTGAATTCACTAAAGTGTCCTACTTTGACTAACAATGAGCTTTAGATAAATAACTGGGTTGTTCTAATTAACTTCGGTTATTTCTTTAAAGAACAAAAACTACCGTTCTCAATTTCAATCTATTTGGAACCCATTCAGTTTAGCATTAACAATTAATATTATTGAAGGGCTTACAAATGCCAGGCGACTGGCCCAAATCAGAACCAGCAGTGGGAAGTCAAGCACGGACTTATCAATATTGGTTTAATTCAATCGGTCAATTCTCAAATGTCAAAGCTAGATACGTAAAACGTTTCTCTATGTTTGGTACAATACTGATGCAGTCAGGCAGTGGTTTGTCGATACTGATCCAATGTTTGGAAAAGTTTCTAATGCTAAGGTTAGGTTTATTAACGTTTTGCCAAGTTTGATCCAATATTGGGCAATCACGAATGGGTTTGTCAATACTGGATCAATGTTCGATCAAACATAGAGTATTAAGGCTAAGTATATAAAAGTTTCGCCAAACTATAACCAATAAGCAACGCACTATCCAATTTTGGATTAATTTTGTTCATCAGGTCTTACCCAATCATGAATTAATGTCGTTCACCAAGTCTTGACACAATTTTGGGCTAATGTTTGCCATGTTTGGTTCAACATTCCTTATCAATCTCGAACCAAAATTGAACAATCTTGGGCAAAGTCTAGACTAAGCCTGATCCTGTCGTGATGAGCAGACAATAAAAAAGGGACACATCAATGCTTAACAAGGTTCTTTTTATTAAGGACATCAGTTACAATATTTAAGCATGGTCGATTATAATAGAATAGAACTATCTTAAAAAAAGTGCCTCAAAAAAAATGAAAAGAACTAACATGGATGGTCCACATTCAAACTTTCAAGCCAGCAGTCTCTACTAAAAATTTTAATAGCAATGTATTTTCTGCTCACTCCAATATGAAACTACAACTAATGTGATGAGATCAGTATTTGTCTCTTCCTCTTTTTCCTTTTTGTTTTATTTATTATCCATTTGTAGAATCCTTTATTCTTGCTGAATGCATCTTTCCTCGGCATTTCACGAATTGCAGACTCATTCTTTCATCTCGACGTTCAAAAATACGTTATGAAATAGACAAAAAAACCGCAATAAAACGTGCTGACTTGACAACTCTTTTCAGGAAACAGCCCGCACTGCTACCAACCCACGGCTGCTCGCCATTTTACCGATGGATGCAATGCAATGGTCTGACGAATGCTGCGCCCAGCACCAGTAAGCCAGAAAGCGAGCGGAGTTGTATGAAAGACCTAAAAACAATTCCGTAGTCGGCCACGTCCGAGAGACAATGCTCACTTTTTCATCAAGTCGCAATGGTATTTTAACAGACGACGACAAGAATAAAAGAATCCGCCTGATTGGCCACGTCCTCAGCTCATTTCAACTGGCACAATACCTATATAGATATAGTATCCACGGGAATAAGTAAATTCCACACTTAGACTCATCTACAATAATATTTTCAATAAGCTTCTAACGAAAAAACTGGTTGGTGTTAGTATCTGTTTAATTTGGACAAGAATATTTTGGGTAGAATCAGTGGCGATTTTCTCGGCGATCGTCTGTTCCTTTAAATACTCCTTTGTTTACTTTCTGGAACCCTCTAGAAACATCCGGATCGTTTATTTTTTCTTTGAACTGTTTAATTGATTTCCCAGAACTCAGATACGACACACACATTTACAAATACGGCGCACATGAAAAGAAAGTCGCCCGCGGCTAGTCGGCGAATCGATAACTCGATCACGCACACGTGTGCCCGATCGCACACAAACACGCTCGTGCTCGCTACAATACAATGAGTTCTTTTTTCTTTCAATTCATTCGTTATACCTACAATCCCCATGTTTAATGTCAGTGGATGACTCAGTTTATAAAAAAAGGTACAAAAATGTTTGTATGGAACTGCACGCTTCGCAGCTCCATCAGCAAAGGAGCGAGCACTGTAGCTTCCGCAGTGCTGACTCTAATCTGCTCGTGGAAGGTAGTGTTTTTTATTTCGTTACTAAAAATTGACTCAAAAATGTTTGAACGGTTCTGTAGTCCAAAATAAAAAGCAGAACCAGTACCTATAAGGGTCTCAGGAACGGTTAAACTGGTTCCTCACTCTTCCATTTCTTGTTAGAAATAACCTGTAGCATTTATTGATGCCTTTAATTAAGTAAATGTATTACTGCAAGAAAT